ACCCTCTCTGGGGCACCTGGTGCTGGCCACTGTCGGCAGACAGGATACTGGGCTAGATGGACCTTTGGTCTGACCCAGTACGGCCGTTCTTATGGGAACATTTTAACCTCCCTGGATTTAAAAGGAGCCTTTCTGCTGCAAAGGAATTTCACGGCCCAATAACAGAGAGTCTGCAGAACTGGAATTCATCTACAGATTTGACACCGTTACCCTGGGTCTACACAAAGACATCAACTGGTTGGTACATTACAAAGCCAATTTCTCCTGCCATTAACATCGGCATGTCCCCATCAAAAGCTACCTAGGGGACTCATCCAACCCACTGCCTCGTTAACCAGGGTCTTGCAATCGACAGGAACGTCTTCTACTGCCATCTAGATCTCTTGGGTTCTATTATTTCCGCGCCAATTCATCTGAGGAAGTGGGTTTTGCCCACGTAAGCTCAAGATTCTGTATATTTTTGTTAGTCTCTGAGAGCGTGTCTAGACTACAGGGTTTTGTCGACAAAAGTGGACTTTTGTCGACAAAATTAAACCTGCATCTACACTACCGCCACGTTCTGTCGACATAACGTCAACAGAACGCGGCAGTTTTGTCGACAGCGGTAAACCTCATTCTATGAGGAATAACGTCTTTTGTCGACAGAGGTCTGTCGACAGAAGGCGTTATTGCGTCTACACTATCCTTTGCGTCCACACTGTCATGTCAACAAAGTGGCTTGCTTTGTTGACAGAACCGGCTGTAGTCTAGACACTCTTTGTCGACCGATGCTTTGTCGACAGTATCTGTTGACAAAAGCCTGTTGCCTACATGTGCCCTGAGGTGCCACAGGACCACACGGTAACTGACAGACTAACATGGCCGCCCCCGAGGCCTATTAGCGATGTTTGCCCAGGCATTCCATTCACGAGTATGTGTTCTTTGGGAGCAATGGAAATCACGGTTAATTTCGCACGGAACTAGATGTTCGAAGCCTGTGGGCCAGGCCTCCTTGGTTTAACAGCCCCAGGGTTTGAAAATCAAATTTTTGGCTCTTTTATGTGCCTTGTTTATCGGGACACTCGGGGGCGGGTTTTCAAGCTTCCCCACAGCCATGAGGGCCAGAAATGTCCTTTAAACACCGTCTCCCTTAGGCCCGTGGCCGCAGGGCAGGGCGTTACGGAAAATGCCTCCGAGAAAGAGCAAGCATTGGCCATGTGATGCAGGCCCGCTGCACGGGACCGGCGAGCAGACCGACGAGCAGGCGGGCCCGGCGCATGGCAGGGCGTGTGGGGAGGGAGCCCTCCCTCCAGAGTACATGTTGAAGGTGGCTGTCTTCAGGAGCTGCCCGTTTGTCCCTAGAGGGGGAGACGAAGTGGAGCCGTTAGGTGCTGGGAGAGAAAGGCGCCTGTGCTCCTTGCCCCAGCCCTGCCGTTGGCGAAGGACATGGCCTACGGCAGGCCGAGCACAGGGGCTCGGTTGGGAAGGGAGCTAGCGCGCATGCGCGGCACCAGGCTGAACGGCCAGCAGCTCACGTTGGGCCCCGGCCCAGTAAAAGGCACCAGCATGCACAGAGCAGCAGAG